AAACAAATAGATTCCAAGTTGCCGTGCGTCTGTTCAGTAATAGATCACAGAGAAATGGAGGAACAAACCAACGATTTAATGGACGGATTAATGTGTTTATTGAGGTAAAGAGAGGTAAAGAGGAAAAGAAAGAAGGAGAAGAGGTAACAGAAGGAGAATGAAGTAGAGGATGTACCTGGCGGTGTTCCAAGGTGAGCCGCCATTAGCACATCCCACCATTCCCAGCCGGTAAGTAAACAGTAATGCAGCAAGTCCGACAGGCTGCGTTTTAGCCGAATTCCAGCCATACTGTCTGTCAACGAAAAAATAAAGGAAAAACATTAACCTCTTAGTGCGTCAAGCTTGGATCGCAAATTGAAAATCAATGACATGAAGAGAAGCCTAAATTCCGCCGCATGGCATAGGTCTGGTACATGGATTGTAAATCATGTAGAGGTCATTTGGGAGATCCCCTGAGATTCTCTCAGTTTAAAAGTGAAGGTTAATTAACTGTAAAGCCTTCGAAGAGAAAGAATTCGTTGTTAAAAGCAAACAACACTAATTTTCTTAAGAGAGAATCTGTAGTTGGATTAATTCAAGTGGTCTCTTGGAAACTGTTGGAACTGTCTATGGTGCTCGCTTTAAAACGTTGCGTTGTATTTTTCGTACGCGGTACGTTAAAAAATCAACTTGAGCGTCATTTTGTAGGTGTGAATCAGGCTTATATGTACGGAGCTTTCCATTGATGGTTGGAAAACCTTGGTTTTTGGTAAAATCAAACAAACCCTATTAGCCAATCAGAACAAAGATAAATACCACGTGCACAAGGAGCAAGTCAGAGCTGCGAATCAGTTGATGTAAACGGGCCTCAAACACGGGCTAAAGTGAGTTACTTGGTCTCGAATAGTTCGAACTTTTCATCTGACTGGTCAACCTATATAAAAGGGTAAGGTACTGATAATGAACCAACCATAAAGAAAAGTAAAACAAAGGCAAAGAAATCCCAGATTACTATCGACAATTACAATTCATTCGGTACTCACCACCAAGATGATGCAGTTTTAAAAGTCTAATATCTCCCGCCATGGTGACACCCACCATGCAACAGCAGCAAGGCGAATAACAGATGGCTCCCAGACAGCCTGTGTTGTAGCTCGCTACAGATAAACGTGCTCTCTTGGGTGCAGTACCTGAGAAAAATATTTATAAAATATAAAAATAATACAAATAAATGATCAAGTTTTCATCCCAAAAACCTCCTGTTGCCCGGAAGCTACAAGGTTTGTTCATCTTGATAAATTCATCCTCAATTTTCAAGCTCGTTATTTGACATTCGTTTCAATCTTTGTCATTTCTTAACATCCTTGATCCAGTTAGCTTTATTCAAACTTATGTGATGTTTGTTAACACTACCAAACTATCATTTTGAGAATTCTCTCTATTTGAAGGCAATTCTCCATGACCCTAAAAATAGTTAAAACCACGTTGTAGAAGCTGCTTCAAGTACCTACCTAGGTCACTGTCTGCTGATGGTTTCATTTTTGTGCGAAAAGAGCCGCTCGGTACCAGACCAACACTGTAAGGTATGAATGAAGATTATTGTTGCTTGGTTACATTCGGAATGAGGGATATCAAAATGGTACTTACACCATTGGTTCAAAACAACAAAACGTACTTTACTCAAATACAGCAGCGTCTGAAAGAAAAAATTTCAGCCTAGACAAGGTTTAATTTTGCTTTCAATTTTCCACTGACCATCAAAGTCTATTTGAAGGCACTGATAAACCTGTAATGTATGAGACAAAATGAAGACGTTGATTTAAGATTCCCTGGAAAGGCAGATGCCCTCCCTCAGAATCGAAACACACCGTCTGCATTCTGCCTTGAGCAACTTGCACATGGGTTAGAAGAACAATGGCAGGCCTGGCAAATCGGTACTAACAAAATTGATGACAATGTTTTGCCAATTGCAACCAAAGACATGTCTAGCTTCTTAACTGTTCGATTTATGCGTCGCACATAGAGAAAAACACAATTATTATTAACTGATGCAACGGTAAAGGAAGAACAGTTCTCCACGAAGGCCTAAATCCATGGCGTATGATTTACATAATTTTGCACAGTTAACAGAAAAATCCTGTTTTGTGAAAGTGTCGCCTTAGCTTATCAATAAACCGTCAGTGATCAGTCGGTAATCAGTCGGTGGTCACTCGATAACTTGTCGGTAATCTTTCGGTCGACTGTTGAGTGAGGTGAGCTGTTTCCCGTAAAAACCGTTGCACTTTTCTCTAGTTTCAAACCTACCAATTTAGCATCTGAAGTCTATCATCATCGTATTGAACCATTAGGAACGATGCAGGGTACGTCATCAGATTACTCATTGGCGAAATGTCGACTTTTGGCGTGGGTATGCGAGGCAGACAGAGACAAACAATCTTTGCTGAATCATCGTAAGTATTTACATTTTTCCATTCCTGAATCATTCAAACAAAGAAATTCAACGAATATAATTACGTCCCACGTTAGGGAAACTGCTAAATATTTTAATTGGTAAGATAGGATGAATTTCAAAGAGGAAAGAACAAAGCGACGTGAAGCATGGAGGGTTAACACCAGGGAGGGGAGGGTGACAAGTTTGCAGGGCCACCCGTCATGGGCTCATTAAAAACTCATTGAGAGCCACACTATAAGCTCAGCTCGAATGAAGAACGTACATGGCATACACTCCTTTGCTTGTAAAACAATATTTAATAATGCTAGGATTATTGTGATAGTGTAGTCTGATCGTCCGGGTGATTGTAGTCCTGAGAAGGATTAGTCGACCGACCTACGTCACTTGAGTCTTACAGCCAATAACATTAAGGCAGAACTGACCAATCACTTCATACGGAACGGATTTAGAACTTTCGCATGATAACAACTATTCACTTGACTCTGATGATGACTTCCGCTCAGGTTGTCGAAACGTCAGTCACCACTACCGACAACAGTCCTTCTCAGGACTACACTCACCTGGACGATCAGACTACACTCTCACATGTTATATTACCCACGGCTTCAAACTATTTACAGTAATAGTAATTATTGTTTCCCAAAGTGTTTGCATGTCTATGTTCTTGTTTGAGGGAGAAAAGAGGACGGCTTATAGAAGAGAGAGGAGCCTTTGCAAATGACCTTTTGCGACTTGTTTTAACCTTTCTTACTTACATATACACTGTAATTGCCTCCACGTGGATGAGTAATTTCTAGTTGAAATCTTTCATGTAGTTGTATGACTTCCTTCTTCATTTCCCATCGTTTGATGCAACTCCCAAACGGCCCTGAAATTTGAAGACGAATACAAAGCTTACAACAACCAGGCAGCCAAAATG